CCGATGGACACGAGCTTGATGTGCTCGCGCTCCAGGAACTCCAGGGCCACCGACACGTTCTCCAGCTTCATCTGGCGGAAGTTGGGGCGCGGGTGGAACTTGCGGTACATGCGCTTCTGGCTGAGCACCTCGAGCAGCGCGATGAGGCGCAGCCCGTCGCTCAGGTCGCGCTGCAGGTCGCCCAGGCGCTTGCCCACGCACTTGAGGTGCTCGTTGCACCACCGCGTGAACGTGTTCTGCTGGATCTTCTTCCACGGCGCGTCCTCCGCCAGGTCCTTCTCGGTGGACGGCATGTCGTCCGCCTCGTCCGCCAGGCCGAAGCCGGCGGCGTCGGGGTAGCTGCCGTTGTTCATCATGCCGGGGCGGCGGGGTCGGGGCGGCGGGGTCGGCGCTGGCGGGGCGGGGCGGGCACCGCGCTCGCTCTCGGAACCGTCTCTAGGCTCCGGCTGGCGGGGCCGGCGGCTCGGGCTCCGTCCCGGGGCGGAGCGGGGCTCGGGAAGTGCCGGCCCGGCCCGGGCAGGGGGTTTAAGAAGCCCCCGGGCCCCCCCGCCGCCCGCGGCCCGGGTCCACGTCAGAGCGCCGGCCTCCCAGGAATGCCGCCGCCCGCGCCCACGGCCCCGCCCCCGCCCGCCCCTCCCCCACGCGCAGGCCGCGCGAGCGGGACGGGGTGGGGGCGCGGCCCGCGCCGCCCCTCGCACACCGCGCCCCAGGTCCCGTCCCAGGCGCTGAGGGGTGGAGGACACACCTCCCGCACCCAGACCGGATTAAAGAAATTAATGGGGAAACTGAGGCAGGGGTTAGGGCTTAAACATACTGATCTGGTGCTGACAGAATTTTCTGGAGTTGGTGACCAGGCTGTTGACACAGCCTAGGAGTTCTGAGTTCTGGCGTCTAGCCTGGTGTATTGTCCACCTGTGAGCTCAGGAAGTGTGTGTGTGTGCGCGCGCAGAGACAACCCCAGGGGAAGCAGGAACGCTGACCAGGAGACAGTGGGTTCAAGGGGGCTCCCCTAATTTTGCCACTTTACAAGTTGAAAACCCTTAAGGCCTTATTTGGAACCCAAACCCAGGGCCACAGGGGTGGGAGTGGGGTGGAAGGTTCGAGACCCTGACTCAGTGATCCTGTCACTAGCCCGTTTAGACTCACTGGCTCAGAATGAAGCTGAGCTCAGGAACAGGGTACCGAGTGAGTCACTGTGCGCCCCCCCCAGTCTGACTCAACAAGTTGGTGAGGGGAGGGAAGGCTGCCCAGGTAGTGCTTGGGAGCCCCCTGGGCAGTCTGCCCGTATGGACCACGGGGCAGATCCTCCCAGGGAAAGCAGGAGCGTGCCAGGCAGCAGGAAGAGCCCTAGCAGAGCAGCCAAGGGAAATGTGACAGGGGCAAGTGGGCCGGGCCAGGGGCAAGTGGGCAGGAAGGGAGAGGTGGCCAGGAGCCTAGGCACCATTGGGCTGAGTGTGAGGCCCAGTAAGACGAGGTGTGGGGAATGCTGACAGGAGAAACTGAGGCACCCACAGGAACCAGGGCGACAAGGTGCACTCGTGTGTCAGGGAGAGGACACGACCTGAACTCTTCCTGGGTGTGTGTGCTCTGCTCTCCCACCCCGAACCGAGTTTGGCTGTGAATTCAAAGCATGTGGCAGCCGAGGCTTGGGATGGCTCTCTGACAGTATTCCTGCCCTCCCAGTCAGAGTGAAGAGGAAGGGGGTAGTAGATGTCTTTCCCCAAGGGCAGAGTGAAAGCAGTGCCCATTATGGACTTAAAAGGAGTTTCGGGGCTTTGAGGGAGGCGGGGCTTGCGGTGACATTTCTGTCAATCACTTCTTTTTCTTCTCACCTATTGAGAAGGCCTGGTCCTTAGACAGGAAGAGGGAAGGAGAGAAGGGGCCAGGAACAGCACACGGTGTGTGTAGCACGGGTGCCTCCAGGGGCCCTGACAGTGACAGGAGAGGTATAAATAGCTCGGGCCCTGCAGCTCCTGTTCTGTCGGCTGCCTGTGACGAGGTGCTCAGGAATTCCACTCTCCTGCGGCAACCCCCATCCTTCTCCCAAACTGCCATTCTCCCCACGCCACCTTCATCCCCCAGCACTGTCAACTGAAAAACCGAGATCTCCTGTGGGGGATGCCTAGCCCTCACAAGGGCAGCTGTGTGTGTTTGTGTGTGTGTGTGTGTGCGCGCGCGCGCGCCAACCTGACAGACAACCTGATTAGGCTTTGCAGTGTTGTCTTTGTTGAAGAAACCAAAATGTAGATCTGAAAAAGAACAGACTACTCTCTGAGCTACTGGAGAGGGGGAAGGGGGGCCCGGTAGAGTGGCGGGATCCGAGGCCAGGCCAGGGACTCTGGGGTGGGAATGTGCAGAGGGAAGCTTGCTCGGGGAGAGAGACCTCCCAGGGACAGCTTTCCTTACAGTCTCTTCAACTCATGACCTCACTCTGGGAGATCAGTGTGCAGGCCCCACAGGAGGGTGGGACGGTCAGCAGAGCAGGGCCCCGAGTGCCAATAAATGGTTCCCGTCACCCTCCTCCCCAGAAACCTGAGCCTGTTGCTCTCCAGGATAAATCGGGGCCTGACTCAGGCCCCAGCAGCCTGCCACAGTCTGCCTCCCCGGGCGCAGGCTGGTGACTCAGCCCTCAATATAGCCCATGAGTGCAGGCCCTAGCCTCAGCCATGCCGGCAGAACAGACCGTGCGCAATGCTGTCCCAGGGCCTGCCAGGAGGGCCCCCACCCCGACAGGAGGAGTATGTTCCTCCCTCCAGCCAGGCAGAGGTCCCAAGAGGGGCTTTACAAGTGCTTTCATCAGCTGAGGAAGCTTGAGAAGTGTTGGCCGGGGCCACAGGCTGTTTATAGCCCCCTGACTCTCTGCAGACCTGTCTCAGGAGACCAAGTTGCCTGGCTTGCCTCTCACTTGGGCCTGCCTTTCCATCCAGGGACACTGCCTATAAGCCACCATCAGCAGCCATTTAGGACTGCAGCTGAATGGACCGTGGTTGAATTGTTTTGGTTTTGGAAGCAGGGACATTCCAACAGTCACCTGTGTTCTAGGACCCCAGAACAGGGATTCTAACTGGCAGCAGACTGTGGCCTGCTCTCGGTGTCAGGCAGGGTGGCAGAGGGGAGATAGGTGCTGAGTCCCAGTCTCTCCTCTTCTAGCTCTGTAAACTTCAGTAGGTTATACAACTCTTTTGAGCCTCTCTTTTCTCATCTGTAAAATGGAGTCAATAGCATCCTGAAAGAATGTGAAATACGAGAAGCAAAACAAAACACAGATGATCACTAGCATGGTACCTGGCACTTATCAGGGGACTGACAGGTCTCATCTGCTGCTAAGACAACAGATTCCTTCTGGGGAGCAGAGCCCTTCCTCACAGCTGAGCACCCACAGTCCAGGTCTCCACGCTGTTCCATCACCTCTTCCTTCCATCCTATTACTTAACCTGCCAAAACCAACAGCATTGCACTCTTTAAAGACATCTGTGTCCGCAGCAGCAGCTGGTCCTTGGCAGGAGCTGCAAGGCTACTCTGCATGGGCACTGCAGGGGAGCCGGCCGCAGGGCAGAGGGTGGACAGCAAGCAGCCATGCGGAGGACAGGGTTCCACTCCACCTGGACCCGATGGGCACCTGCCTGCGGACTGTGGTGTTAAAGACACACTCCTCTAGACTTAGAAAGTCAGCGCTTCTCTCTTTTTAAGCTAAGTCCGTGAATGTTTCACACCTAACAAAAAGAGACCTGTTTCGTGTGCTCTGGGACACGGGGTCAACAAGGCCCCAAAGTACAAGCCCAAGCCAAATGAAGAAAGTGTTCTGTTTTGTTTTGAATCTGTGTGTGTGTGTGTGTGTGTGTGTGCGCGCGCGCTGAGGTGGCTAAAGAGACTGGAAGGAGGAGTTGGACCTCCTGGAGCTGGAGTTACAGGCAGTTGTGAGTGCCGGGAACTAAACTCAGGTTTAGTTCCTGAAGGAGCAAGAAGCACTCTTAAATGCTGAGCCATCTCTAGGGCAAGGTTCCATGTTGGAGGTCAGTTTAATGCTAAATACACCCATCCTTGTATGTGCCTCAAACATTCTACCTGATTGGTTCAGTAAAGGCCTATACCTGGGCAGCGCAGAATGGGGTAGGCGTGGCTAAGGCTCCCAGGCTTTCTAGGACTGAATCACTGGCAGACAGATGGGAGAGAGGAAGGAGGATGACACGTGAGTTAGTGTGGAGAAAAAAAAACACATGGGACTGGAGAAAGGACTCCAATAATGGCGTGGAAAGGCCCAGATAAAAAATATAAGCAGGGGCTGGAGAGGTGGCTCAGAGCTTAAGAGCACTGGCTGCTCCTCCAAAGGTTCTGAGTTTAGTTCCCAGCAACCACATGGTGGCTCACAACCGCCTATAATGAGATCTGGTGCCCCCTTCTGGTGTGCAGGTGCACATTCAGACAGAAGATTGTGTACATAATGAATACATCTTTAAAAATACATATACAAGCAAGTACCATGGGCTTATGGATGGAAGGTAGTCCAGTTGGGAGGGGGGGATTAAGGTGGGTGGCATTGGATGGGGGCTGGGAGATGGATGGCGAGGATACTGAGCCAGAGTAGGTGAAATATGTGCCCGGCCCAAGGTAAATAAGGCAATGATAAATCCAACAGGTGTCTGTGTCTTGTCATTTGTGACAGTGGGTTAGATACCGCCGTGATAACCTCAGGGCTAATAATAAACATTATATAGCCCTACGGCCATTGAAATCACAGTTCTACACTGAGGAGCGGGCCGGGCGCCCTAAAGGGAACAACTGTTTGTGGGAAAGGCAGGACGCATTCTGCCATTATTCCTGCTTCTGGTCAGGTCTCCTGAGCGGATGGGCCGGCTTCAGTTCCAAACGGTATGGGCAGGGCCGCCTGAGCGGCCATCTGCTGCGGCTGCAGGGTGAAGCCAGGCTGTGAGGAGGGGGAGTGGAGCTTCCGGGAAGACCCCAGCCAAGCTGCCTGGAAGAGGCTTAGAGCAACCCTGGAAAGGAGCTCTCCACCCTGTGGGGCGGCCTGCACCTGCGCAGTGCTCCGGGTCCCCAGCCTAGCAGGCCGTCACCGTGCTGGTGGGCTTCGGTGATCAGCAGCTGTCGTTTCCGCTCCTGTAAGGGCCCCATTACGCTCACTGGAGTATGTGCTCGGTCTGCTGAGGGGCCCACACCTGACCTGTGTGGTGAGTACAGGTGTGTTGCGCCCCCCAGGAACTCTGTCACACAGCAGAGGCAGAGGAGAGGGCCTCTCAAGGTTGGAGGGCCATTTTGTTCACTGTGACTTAAGGGAACAGTTGGGGGTCTTGCATGCGAAGGGTAATCTTGAGAACCAGCCATAAAGGTCGCCTCGGAGGGGTGGAAGGAAAGGAAGCTGCCTGAGTTATCCTCCCGCCTCCTTTAGGGCACCCTTACTCTTCTACCCCACATTAAGGTTCAGGAGGATGACCTTAAAAGACTGCATCACGTTGGCCTATCTGCTTTTGGTTCGCTCATCGTTTCAGCCATGAGATGCTCTGGGATACAGGCTGAAGGGGAACTAAACTCCCCACATCCTCACAGGTCTGGTATAGCACTCCTGTCAGGGCTCCAGCCTTTTAAAGGACTCAATGTGTGTCAGGTGAGTGAAGGAACACCCCACGGTGCACACGTGGAGGTGAGAGGGGTCCGTTCATTCCACTGCGGATTGCTTCAGAGAACTGGCCTCAGCTCATCAGGCTGGCTCCGTATCCCAGTTAACGCCACTGTCAACTTGACAGCCTGAAGCCATCCGAACCAGGATTTCCCCAGGTTCCAGGAGGCCTCTGACCATGCCTGTGAGGTATCGTCTTGACCGCTGATTGATGTGAGAGGGCCCAGGCCACTTGGGTGGCACCATGCCCGGACAGTTGGGTCTGGCTGCATAAGAAGCTAGTTGAGTGAGTCGGGGAAGCCAGTCAGCAACATGGGTTCTGATTTCCCTCGTGCCCTGCCTCCCTTCGATTGTGACCTCAAGTGCTAAGTGCCCTCTTCCTCCTCCATCCTAGGGTGGTATCCACTTTGCTGTTAGTTTCCCCTTGGTTCTCCTGTCTTCCATGAATAACCATCCCATGAGATTCTCTTCAGTCCAGCATCAAGTGTCTTGTTGCCAGGTTCCTGACTGATTAAAATGTCTCCAAACATGAATCTCGAGTTGTAAGGCCAAGCCATGGAGGTCCCCCTGCAGATCTTCTCAGGGCACAGAAACTAGGTCTCTTGTTTGCCCACTGCCACCTGCCCCATGCAGGGTCCCCGTTCAGGCCACTTTTCTGTGTTCCTAACAGGTCCTCGAGAAAGGGTAAGTAGGTACAGACCAGTCTCTGTGGCTCAGCTGGCAGCAGAGGGAGCCAACCTCGTCTCCGAAGAATCACACAGAGGAGGCAGACGCTCAGTAGACTGCTTGGTTGAAGGGGAGCTGCTCTGTTGAGCGTTATGTGGAATGTTTATCGAAGACAAAGCCACACAATACCTCATGTAATTAGGCTGACATTTAATTACAAGGAACCCAGGTTCTTACACAAGGCAGGAGGTTGAGAGCCAGCAACTCCCATAAGCCTTGCCAGTCTGAGTGGCTGAGGCAAAGGAGAAGGGGACACATGGGCGGGGTAGGGACTCTGGTACCGTGTGTTCTGCCCACAGGTGAGGGTGGAGCCTCCGGGGACCTGCCCTCTGGGCTGGCCCGTGTCTGCCTTCACTTCATGTCATGTACTCTGTCTCCTGTGGTCGTATGTTGGGCAGCACATACAGCGCCACTGCTGCGATAGCCAAGAATACCATAGGCTTCCACATCCCAAACATGTTCTGTAGGGACCAAGAAACACAGTGAGTTCCCAGCCTTCTGCGCCCTTCCTTACGCCAGAGACCACCTGCCTGCTGGAGGGCCTGCCTCGGGGACATTGTTGCGACTTGGCCTCCCTCGCCTCCTGGGCCATCATGGAGACAGCCTGCTCTTCTTCATTTTGGCACCACTAGGTTTATGGCAGGATGCTGCATGCATCACTTGGGCTATTCCTCAATCTGTACTTGATTTGTCCCCATGGGATGAGGACACTGGTGTTCCTGGATGTCCAGGCCAGTCTTCAGAGCCTCTCCGTGTAGGTGTGTGAGAAGAGGTGGGGTGATCTGGGCCTTTGGAGAAGGCACACACCTCTTTATGGAGAGTGAGAGCTCAGTTAAGATGGAGAGGGCAAGGTGCCAGAGAGGAAGTAGCCAGAATGCACAGTAGGATGAACTAAGTAGGATGCTCATTGGTCGCCAAAGACTGTGTGTCAGAGGGTGTTATTTCAAAGAAACTCAGGGAACCTGCTGCTGCTCCTGAGAGCCAGTGTCAAAAGCTGACAAACATGCTCCTGTCCCCAGCTGACCTCCCGAGGCCTCTAAACACTGTGACTGCTGGTGAGCCCTCTGACCAAGGCTCAGCTAATGACACCCTAAGAAAACATGCAGGAAACACCAAGACTTAGATACAAAAATGAGGAATAGTTCGTAGTTTTACTACTCTTTTTACTGTATTGCTTGAAGTTTAGAATTAGACTTTTTGAATCATAAGTTATGGCATAAGAGGAAAGAAAGATGGCTTGAGGAAAAAAATGGAGCCCATTAAAGCTAACAATATATTTGCTTAGAGAGTAACTGATCTAAAAGAAAAAATTAAGCTAATCACAAGGAGCAAAGATAACCCCCCAATTTTATAGAAATTGTTGCTATTTCTATAAAAAAGTTGCTAAGAACAGAATAGGTAAAACTAAAAATTAATGTTAGACATGGATATACAGACTAATCCCCAACAGAAACTCAGGAGAGAACCAGGAGGACATGCGGATGCTGCTGCCTGGCCTACATGTCGGGCCCTCGCAAGACAATCCAGAGAATATTTACTCTAGCTGTGGTAACACATACGTGATCCCAGCACTTAGCTCTATGGCCGGTGTGAAGCCAGTGTGGGCTACCAGAGAGCCTACCCCTGCCCTCTCCCCAAAGCCCCCAGATGCCAGCTCCAGCGGAGGGGAACTAGCGATGCTGATGGATTCTGGGAGAGGGGAGCCGCTACTGTTGCTGCTGGAGATAAAGCCACTGGGAAAGGCTCCACATGCGGCCATGCTCACCCACACTGGGCTGAGTTACTCGGGGCCCAAAGAGCCTCTGGGGCCTCGGGAGGTCGAAGGCGTCCAGACGTGTCAGCCAAGAGACTAAGGGAGTCATGGGTGGGCTTAGGCAAAGTCTGTCCAGACTGCCTTCAAGTTCCTGCAGACAACAGCTAGAGAGAAGTGCAGGAATCGGTGTCATCTGTCGTGTGACATTTAAGTAGCCAAACTGCTGAACAAGGAGAACCCGGAAGATAAGCCCCCGGAGGCCTTGCCTTCCTTGCAATCTGGCTCAACAGAAGGGTGAGGTGGCCTTGTCACCCCTGATGATGGGAATGAAACTAGCAGGAGAAAAGAATATCGTGGTGCTGGGTGTGGTGGCACGCCTGTAATCCCAGCACTCGGAGGCAGAGGCAGGCGGATCTCTGTGAGTTTGAGGCCAGCCTGGTCTACAGAGAGTGTCCTGGACAGTCAAGGCTACACAGAGAAACCCTGTCTCAAAAAACAAACAAAAAAGAGGAATATTGTGAAAACACAGGGTCAAGATAAACGATCAAACAAACAAAACCCCACAAAAATGCATAGGCTACAACAGTGAACTACAGTTAATAGAGAAGAATGGACTTTGAACTCTAAAAAAACCACGTGTTAGCACAGAATAGGGAAAGGACACTTACTGTGCACAGTATACAAGAGTTTTAGAAACAAGACATGAATAAATAAATGCTACTAGTTACCAAGAGAGCTACTGAGGTTGGCGGTCCCAAAGCAGAACAAAATAACAGTCTACCCTGCTGTACGGTGTCTCCCCAGTTACCTGGGGCCAACCGAGGAAGGGGCTAAGAACGAGAAGAGGCAGTAAATAATGGCTGGGGAGAGAGTCCAGTGGAAGAACACTTGCCTGGCTAGCAGGTGGGAAGCCCTGGACTTGACCGCCAGAACCCCCGACACTCAGTGTTGTGACACATACATACGGTCCCAGTGACCAAGAGCTGGCAGCAGGAGGACCAGGAGTTTAAGGCCTCCTCCCCACAGCACTAGAGGGAAGCGTGGGCTACAGGGAGGAACACAGGGGACGTGGTTTTACTTTCTCTCTGAGACAGGAGTCAGCCCAGGCTGGTGCTAACGTCCCATCGCCCTGCCGCCCTGACCGAAGGGACACATTACAGGCATATGTCATCCAGCTCTGCCCACGGTTGACAGTTTTTCACGTGTAAACTGGCACATTAGCGCTTCCTCAGAGGCCTGCTGCAGGGACTAAATTTGTGCATATATGTAGTGTGACTAGAGACGCATCTGGCGCGCAGCCCACGCTATTTAAGAGAGAGAGAGTGTGTGTTTGTGTGTGTGAGTTTAGTACTCACATGGCTTTCCGAAATCTGTTTTTTAACTTTTTAAGATTTTACTGAACCCTTTGTTTCTTTACAGGAGGGGGTTGTGCATGTAGGGGTCAGAGGACTTGTAGAAACAGGCTCTCTGTGTCTACCACGTGGGCGCAGGGAACTAGCTGGGTCAAGCACTCTTGCTGACATGCTGCCTGGTGCTAACCTCTGTTAACCTGCCTGACCTCACCAAACACTGAGAAAGGCGGGGCGCGGTCGCGCTCTGTTCACCCTCGAAGGCGCTGAGGTTGGAACATTTTGCTCCCTGGGACAGAGCTAAAAGGAAGAGACAGACTCGGGCAAGCGCTTTTCACCTGTCGGTGCCTCGAGATGCGGGCAGAGCGCAGGGGACAGAAGGCCCCAAGAGAGCCCGGACCCACATCCCTGCATCTCACGGCACGGCAGAGCCTGGCAAAGGCTGTGGCTGCCTCCCTGGGTCATTTCACAGGGACTCAAGCAACTTCTGGAAGCTCAGGTAGATGCAGGCACAAGGAGAGGCCCCATCATGAAAGGAGCTAAAGACTGTCAGGGAAGTAATGGAAAGGCCCAGAAGAAAGAAAAGCTGAAGGTTTCGAGAAGATTAGAGAGAAAGAGGAAGCTGGGAGGAGGCAGGGTGCTCAGCAGCTGCCGTCCCTTGCTGCTAAGCTGGGTGACCTGAGTTCTATCCCTGGGACAGACAAGATGGAAGGAAAGAAGACAACAAAACAGAAAACAGACTCCCGAGAGTTGTCCTCTCGCCTTCATACACCAGCTCCCCAAATAAATGCAAGATCAAAAAAAAGGAAATGGCGAGCAGAGCCAGCAACAAAAACTACACTCTGAAATGTGAATTCAGCCACTAAACCTCACTGAAAGAGCAAGGAAGAGGGAGGACACCTGGCAGAGAGGGTCTGCGGAGGAAATCAAGACAGAAGAACTTACAGGCTTCCGGAGGCAGGAGGCGCCTCAGGTTCCTACCTTAGACCATCAGACACCCTTCATCCTGAAGCAGCAATTCTGTCAACAGACCAGATTACGTGAACTGGGCCAACAGAGAAGGGCCCAGAACACATCACTCGACTCCCTGTGAACATTCCCTCTAACGTTTGGGAATGTTTCATCACCGTAGCATCCTCTCCAGAAGCCTGGCTGGAGAAGCCAATTACAATGGAATCTGGTCCCCAAGGAGCAAACACAACTGTACATGACTCCCTGGGATTTTGTTGTCATTTGCCTGGTAACCAGAAGTTCCAAACGTCTGAGAACTGTTAAGGTGAGCATACATAGTACCGCAGGGATTCAGTTCTGCCTCCATCGAGGTGGAAGAAAAATTTAGGGAGCCCTCAACCAAACGCCCCTGAGAACGAGAAGGGCCACAGCTCTTTGGGCCTCCCCTCTCACCCTTGCACACACAGTAATTCCTTCTGGGTTGGAACGTGGCAAAAGCTTGGCTCTGGGGTTATGCACAGACCAGGCTCAGGTCTGCCTTGCAAACGTCAGCTCAGCACACGGAGCTGGGCAGCTTGGTCAGCAGCAACAAAGACTTGCTTGTCCAAGTTACCCGGCCAACCACAGAAACGCAGACTCTCCACGCACTCCTACTGCCTGTCCCTTGCACACGTCACTCAGACCTGAGTCTCTAACGGAGAAGCAAGGAGCCGAGGGAGGAGAGGGCGGGGCCAGTACCTGGTTAGGACGAAGTCTCGGCCCACCAGCACCAGAGCAGAGCTGATATGACCACCAGGCCTACAAGAGGCAAGGAGAATATGGGGGGGTCGGGGGCAGGGGATGGCTGCACATGTCAAATGAGAAGCACAGGAGACCGGGAGACGCGTGGTTGGATGAAGACACAAACACACAATCCAACAGATAATGAGGGTGAGAAAACAAAGGGGAGAGAGAAAAGAATCAAGGTTAAAACAACGCAGGCCGGAGCAGAAGCATCTCTTCTCTGCACCAGAGCCTTGAGAAGCCAGGAGTCCTCACGAGGCCTGCAAGTCACAAAACTGAGTTAGGCAGATAGGTCAGGTTAGGTATGCAGACCGGCTCTCTCTGGTCGCGTACAGCTCGTGTCCTGCCAAGCACAATGGCCCGCACCTGGACCCTCGAGTCAGACACCCTGGAGCAGGGAAGCTTCCGGAGCCCTCTAGGGCTTCCCAGCAGGCGCTGAGCTGATGCTTCCCCTGGACCGCTCCAGGAAGAGCCAGAGCTCAGCCGGGCCGCCTACCAGCCTCACTCCCGCCAGTGTGAGTGGTGTGCGGAGCTCTGGTTCCTGTGATCCCCTAGGAATCTAGCATTCTGTGAGGCAAAACTACTACAGTAAGCTAACAATGGAGAAGGTTAGTTCTTTGGCTACAACAACTTACAGAGAAAAACTGAGTTTGTGTGCAGTAACACAATGTAACAGTTGAGCTGTTTCAAGATTGGAGACCCACGGAGGCAAAGGGCTCCCACATTCGTGGATGACCACGAAAGTCGAGCTTAGATTTAGAACAGTGGCCTCTGAAGGCACTATGAGCTGAGCCAGCATGACAGAATGAACTCAAACGAAACACTGGCCTGAGAAAGGGCTGCGGTCCCTCCTGTTGACACCCCAAGCAACAATCTTCCACCTCACCTTTACCAGGGAAGTGTACATGGGACCGAGAACCAGCAGTGCAGACGAGCTGCTGGAAAATTCCAGACGTCGATAAAGTGAGTGGGGTCAGCCACCGCATGATACTCTTTTCTGTACTGTAAACTGGGGACTCAGAGCAGCAATCGGCTGATACACACTAATGGAAACGCATCAGTTGTTAAAAGATGAGAACACTCCTGGACGCAGCTAGCGTACCCGTCGTCCGCGTCCGCCCTCAGTCTCTCCGAGACCCAGGAACTGCAGGGCTAGAGCAGTGACTGCTCGTGGCAGACTGGCCAGTGTCCCTGCAACTCTGAACATCACCCTGCTCACGCCCTCCTCCTCCGACGTGAGGTGCAAAACAAGCCCACAGCGCCCACAGGAAGGGTCACCTCTCACGGGCTATCCTGGGAAAACAAGGTGAAGTGACCTGCGAGGCTGGCAGGCGCGCACTGAGTAAGGGCTCTGTGTCGGGGGCAGGATGAGGGACCCTGCTAATACGGGAGGTGCCTACGTGCTGTGTAAGAAGACGCGCGACCCCCACCTGGGTTCTGAGAAAGACAGTACGATGGCTCCATAGCAGTTAGTCCAAGACTGACATTTTCCTCAGAAAGACTGCCCTCTCCAGCCCTTTCCCCTCCCCATGCCCTGAGACACTCACTGGCCTCTACTCTGGTAGAAGCGCACCTTGTAGGGCCACTCCTGAACCCCAGGGCGCCCTAGCCCCAGGCTTCTTCCCACTTGATCCAGCCTTTGGCTGTGGTTACCTTTTTGCTCTCAGAAAGCGTTAGGGGGTTACTTTCCTCGGCAGTCTCGGCAGTCTCCTCATCTTCACATTCTTTCTTAGCCTCCGCTTCTTTGTACTCTTCATAGCCTCCCTCCTCATCGTCTGGTGACTTAGTCTCTTTCCTAGAACATGCTGCCTCAGCAGCTAGTTTGTTTGATTCTTCCTTGGCTTGTTTCTCTTTTTCTTTCTTTTCTGTCTCTTCCATCTCTTTCTCCTTTTTCTCTAGCTGATCTAACTCCCTCTGGCTGGCCTTGTAGTACAGCATCACCTCCAGGCTCTGTGGAGCAGGGCAGGGCAGGGCAGGGCAGGGCTGCTGTCACCTCAGGGCAGGGCTGTGCTGCCACCAGAGAGCTTGCACTGCCCAGCAGTCCACTGAAAAACTGTATTCTGGAACTACAAGCTAAGCTTTCATATGGAGGACAGTCACATTTAGTTTGCTGAGCCAACACTTGACCATTAGGCCATTTCAGCAGACAACCGTAACTCAAGATTCTTGGGCTCTGCTCAGCTGTTGCTTCCTCCCCTCCCAGTAAGTCCTGCCCCAGCCAACCCTCTTGAATAAATTCCTTTCTGTCCATCTAGTTGGTCCTTCTCTTGATCATGTAACCCAGAAACAAGAGGAGTCCCAGAGATGGGCATAGGCTAGTGAAAGGAATTGTTCACATTCCCCCCCCTCCCCCCCCGTGACAGTTTGGACACCCAGGCAAGTTCCAAACTCTTAGAAAGACGGAACTCATGGAGACATTAACGATGCCAAAAGCAAACTTCCTCAGAGTACCTTACTGGCAGGACTTGTTGGTGAGAGCGGCATTTCCTCCCAGGGCCTTCTCACCCACCTGCCTCTCTGGCTACTAAGGCCACAGCTCACCTTCTCATTCTCAAAGCTGCTTTCCGAACTCTCTGAGCACGCCTTGTTGGCCTTCTTAGTGTTAGCTCCATTGGCGTTCTTGTTCATGTTCTTATTGCCATTCTTGCCCCTGACTTCTGCGCTAACGGAAGGCCTGTGCTCTCTGAGCTCTCTGAGCTCTCTGAGCTGGCGGAGCTCTTCCTGGCAGCACTGCAGCTGGCCCTCCAGCTGCTCCTGCACGGCCAGAAGCCGCCCCTGCTCATCCATGCTAGCCTGGTACTGCAGCTGCAGCTCCCGCAGCTTCGTCTGCAGCTCTTTGATCTGTCGGCAGTGGACTCCGGTTACCCAAGGCGGTCCACCCAGGCAGCCCAGGCCCTGCTGAAGTCGCTGCCTCACCAATGTCCCCGCTAAAGCTCATGAGGAAGCGGACTATAAGAAGTTCAAGCAGGCAATGAAGCCTAACTGGTTCTCAGATAGCTTTCCCCTAAGTCAAGCAATCTGAAGATCTGCATCTAGCATGATAAAAAACATGAAATCAATAAATATTATTACTTTGGTTTTGATCATGACCTGTGTGGGGACAACTAGGAAACTGCCACCACTCTGAACCTCAGGCATTTGTTAGCATCCAGTTCTCTTTCGAGGAACTCCGGCTGCACCCAGTCCCTTCCCCTGACACCTAGGGAACGGCTGCATATGCCTGACACCAGACGGGCACCGAGTTAGAGCCCTGGCCCTAATCTCAGGATGGCAGCACATGCTCTGCTCAGTAGGTCCTAACCATCAGGCCATGTGGCCATCACTCCCTGGGTCTGTCCCATCTCTCCAGGCACAGAGGCAGTGACTCTCCCACTGGGCAGGGAACCATGACTGCTCAGAGCCCTGTCCTCAAAGTGCATATAATCTAGCTGGGGGAGGAATAAAAAGACAATGCTCTCAAAATGATAAAAAAATATTGGCAAGTCAAAAAACAAACAACACAACCTGAACCATTCAAGTGCCCATGAGGCACAGAGCAGAAGAGGGAAAAGCAGCAGCAGAGGGGAGAAAGTAATGCCGAGAATGTAGACTGGTTGGCCAGAAGGTCACAGCGCAATGAACACTGGAGCGGCCTTCACCTGAGCAATGCCCGCCAGGTGCAGCGGACTGCCTGGCCTCCTGGCCCGCACCCCACTCCCTGCCTCAGTCCCTAACTCCGCCCTGGCTGCAGTTACCTCACACCTGTCGCTCTGGGGGCCCGCAGGCTTCCCCAGGCTCTCCATGCACTCTCTTAGCTCCTTCTCACAGCACTCCAGCTCGCACTTCAGCTCTCTCTGCTTGGCCAGCAGCTTGTTCATCCGCTCCTGCAGGTGGCCGTGCTCCTCCTGGCTCACCTGGTACAGGGCCTTCACTGCCTGCAACTTGGTCAGCACCTTGGCCACTGTTTCCTCAAAGCGCTGCAGAGAGTTGGGGGGCAATGACGGAACTCCAAGAAACCCGTGATGGCTGTCCTACCTACACTGAGCGGGGCCCTTTCCTGGAACTGCTAGGGAGGCTGTGCTTCTTCCCAGAAAGAACAGCCTGACTCTTCAGAGTCCTGAGCCGCCTCTGTCAGGAGGGTGGGGAGGCAGGGGGGTCTTCCGGCCAGCTTTGACCCCACCCCTGTCTCCTAGTATGCCCTTCCCCTGGCGATGCTTCTCTCAGAGACAGCAGCCCATCCTCCCTGTCTGGCCAATCATCTGGCAATGGTTACCTCCAAGTCTTGAGGCTCGGCTGGCTCCTCGTCAGCATTGCTGCTGACGTAACTCTTGTGGAGTGTTTCAGAACTGGCCGCACTGCCGTAGCTCGTCTTATAGACAACACTCGTGTTGCTGGACCGGTAGCTCTGCTGATAGGGCTCGTTAAAAGTGCTGTTGCTCTCGTAGCTCCTGAGGAAGACTTCGTCGCTGGGCCGGGAGCTGACGTAACTCCTCTCGTAGCCTCCGCTGTTGTCCTCCAGGGTGCTGTCATAGCTCCTGTGGAAGCTCTCGTTGCTCTGGGCCGTGCTGCCCGAGTTCTTCCTGTACGCCTCAAGACTCATTTTTATGGTGGGGGACTGAACTTGGAGCAGCTGTATCTCCTCCATGCAGAGCTGCAGCTCAGCCTGCAGCCTCTTCCGCTCCTCCAGGAGCCGCCCGTGCTCCCGCTGCAGTAGCTCCTGCTGCCTCTGACTGGTGTCATAGAGCACCTGCAGAGCCTGCAGCTGTTCCATGAGCACCTTGAACTAGGGGGGAGGCGGGGGAGTAGGAGACATCACTGTTACTCTGAGACACTCCGGTCCTTTCAGCTGCCCCTCCCCCAGGGCAGACACTCGTGCTCACCTGAGGAAGCGTGCACACACCTGAACCTCACAAGGCCTGTGTCTCTGGTCTAACCCACAGTGACGCCTATGCCAGCTTTCTGCTCCTTTGGAAAAATGTCCTCAGAGCAGATACTAGGTGGTTTGGGGGTTTCTGCTTCTGCTGGTTGTTGTACCCCGGCGTAGCTTCCTCCTCGAAGCTGCGGAGGTGGGTCTGAGGACACCCTGGCTCCCTACCACAGCGTCCTCTTCAATCACGCACACTCACTAACCGGATCTTTAGGTTCGTCCTCTCCCCACCCCTCACGGTAAAGCTAGCCCAGCTGCTAACATGTGATGTGAAGTCTTGCCTTGGAAGATGCAGCAGGCTTTGAATCAGGGTCCCTGTGCCTTCCGCCTGACTCTGTATCTGGCCTTGAGGTTTTCGCAGTCTCTATGTTAACCAGGTTTCAGCCTGGAGATCTGACATCCCTGGACTGACCAGGAAGTCCAACAGCTTAGATTCCTGCTATTTCCTTATTCTCCTTGTTCATGGTAATCCTGGTAGTCTCAGCCTGAACTAAGATGGTCTATGTGCTCTTGCTGACACTGGGGCCTCGGGTCAAACTTACTCTCCAGCTCTGAACAGAGTTGTATAGAAATTTCTGCCTATCTTACCTCATGGGCATGAGCGCATGGCAGTGCTGGTGAATCCAGGATTGTCTGTTCAGCGCTTGTGACCTGGCCCTGACAGCAGCACCAAGGTTCAATAAAATAGTGCGGTCAGGGCCACACAGCTGCCTGCTGCTGCTGCCTTCTTCAGAGATGACTGGGGCCAGATTTGTTCATGGGGACTCAAAAGGTTATAAACACTGAAAAGGGAGAAGTAAACTTTCCAGCTCACACAGAGAAAAGTGACGCACGCAGGGCCAGTCCAAAGGGATCAAACCCTGGATTAGCCGCGTGCCTGGAGAACGCCATGTTGACAGGACAGGACAGAGTCCCGAGGTCAGACAGACTTCTGCGTCACCTGCACTGTGTCAGCTCTTACAACTCAACCATCCGTAATTCCAAACAGCACCTGAAGCGTGGGCCTGAGGTCCTCGGGGCTCCCTGGGGCCCATGGAGGACCCTGATTAGCGCAGGGCAGGGCTTCAGCCTCTCCTCCTGCTTCCTATCTCGCAGGCCTTCCTCACTCTCTCTCACAGAGCCCCCATTCCCGGCCACACAGCTGGATTCATGAGAACCACATCCCTTCCTTCTGCTGCGGTTACCTTAGACTCACAACCAGAGGACTTAGGCCCTTTGGCATCATGAGGTTTTGCCAACACTTCCTGGAAATTGTTCTCTTTGAAACCTCGAAGTTCTCTGTGCGCCTCTAACTGTTCCTTTAGCATGCTCTCTTGGTTCTGTATCAGTTTCCTCTGTTCTTCCTGCATGCTTTGGTAGAGCAGCTGCATTTCACAGAGGTCTTGCAACTTTGAGAGCAGCTCCTGACTCTGAGTAGAGCAGAGGAAGGAAAGTGACGATTACTAGGAAAACGTCCCTCCTGTGCCCCAGGGGTCCGGCTCTTTCTTGCTTCACAGCCCTTCTGGGAAAGGGGCTCTTTCTATGGAGCTTTGCTAACTAAATGAAAGAGATTCTTATGTATGGATATATTTTACAGTTCACAAAGTGATTTCAGGTGCCCTTCCTCCAGATGGTCCAAACATCTAAATACGTAACGTTGCACAGATTTCAGAATATAGTGTATTTTAAGGTTTAAAGCCCTCATGAAGAAAAAACCCAAATCAGCTCTGTGGGGAAAAGAGAGAAAGGAAGAGGCGGCTGGCCAAGAAGGGAAAATGCTCACTTCCTCCCTTTTACTTTCCTCACGGGCAGCTGTACCCGGAAGCTTGTCAGAGCAGCTAGCCCTGACCAATGGCCTCGCCCTGGCAACAAGTACCTTCTGCAGGAGGCCACACTTGGGCTGCGGGAACGTGAGCCTGTGCAGCTCTTCCTGCAGCTGGCTCTGCTCCTCCTGCAGCCTCCTCTGGTCTTCCAGGAGCTCACACTGCTCCATCTGCAAGTGCCCCATCTCCTGCTGGCTGGCTTTGAACTTGTCCTGCAACTCTGTCAGCCTGGACAGCAGAGCATCACACTGTGGGGGAGGGTGTGGGCACGGTTATTGTGGAGGGTGTGTTCCGGGGCCTCCCGTGTCTTAGCAGGGTCTTTGGCTTCCCCGTTCAGTCGGCCTGACCTCCCCGCTAAGGGGTGACCCCGTCGGCACTCTTGAGCAGTCTGTTGTGAACTCTCAATGCCCATGTTCTAAGTCTCATGTGCCAGTCCCCTCAGAAGGTGGTCTGGGAACCCATGATCTCTCCACCCTTCCCTGCGGACAGCAGCTCCATCTCCCCGCACTGCAGGGAGCTCCAGATCAAGCCTCTCTGTCAACTATGTTTTAACTGTCCATTGTTTTAGGCTCAATTTTTTATCCCCACTCATACTGGAGGCTGAACCTCGGGCCTAATGAATCCTAGGTCAGTGCTCTATCACTGAGCTGCATCCCTGGTCTTTTTTTTAATGATTTTACATTTTTACATGCTTTGGCATTTTGCCTGTGTATATGTCTGTCTGAGGGTGTCAGATCCGCTGGAACTGGAGTTGCAGACAGTTGGGAGCTGCCAATTCCCAGTGGGTGCTGGGAATTGAACCCAGGTCCTCTGGAAGAGAAGCCAAGTGCTCTTAACCGCTGAGTCATCTCTCCAGCCCTACATTCCTAGTCTTAATAATACTGTGAAACCTTTAGAAAAATCTGAGTTACTGCTGAACTTGGATTAAAACTATATTATCCTATGACTCTCAAAACCAGGTCTTTAAAACCATGGAAGATTTCAAAGGCTTTTCCAGCACTGTGCCCTTCACTTCTCACAAGCTTTCCCACTGAAAGAGGTACTGAGCAAATCGAGGGTCCAGGCATCTCTCTACTGAGTGAGGAAAGCAGGCAAAGGGCAAGCCCTGGGAGCACCACAGCAACCAGACTGTGGCCTTCCCAATCCTCTCAGGCATGAGCCTGACCCTAGGGACACAGTCTGCTGTTGGGAAAGGCAGGAGCCAGAGCGGCCCAGGTGCATGGGGGACCAGCCTCACCATCTCCAGGACTCTTCTGCCTTTTCTCCCAGGGGCCACGCCCTTCCAGTTCCTATCAGAAATCGGGAGCTGACAGTGCTCTGCAAGGTGCCTGACAATGGCTGGCTGACATTTTATACATCACAGATAAAGTAATTAAACCCACAGTTATCACTGCCACCATTTATTTGTTTTTTTAAAGTGAGACAAAAATATCGCTCTGTACCAAGCCCAGTACATGGCTGTAACCTGAGCAATAGCGGTGGAAGCAGGAGGCCGCCCCAAGTTCAGGGGTAACCTAGTCCACACAATGAGCTGTCTCGGCGCCTCTCTCCACAGCCTCCCCCCACATTTTGTTCAGTTTGAAGAAAGTAAAATTCAAGATTTGAGAATCTACTCCAAGTCTGATTACATCACAAAGGAGCACTGGTTCTTCGAATACTCAATCCATGCTCTGGGTGCAGACCCCACCCCTAAGGAGCTCGAGTGCAGTCTGCTTCTGAAATCTGGCCCCACCCTTTCACATTAGTTGGGCACAGAGGGGCCTATGTGTGTGCTCCTCCCTGCAAATGCTGAGACATCAGCACAGTTACAATCCAGGGTGGAAATGCATGTGTGCACGGGTCACGTGGAAAACGGGTGCTCTTACCCATGAGCGCTCCGGCTCTTACTCAGGTCAAGCTCAAGATCAAGTGTTTTAAAGACACCGGACACGGTCTGCCTGTCTTCTGCCGTCTGCTGGGTGGCCTCCTCCCTTGCCTGTGTGCACCCTCTGTCCCCAGCTGGTGCAGCAGCACTCAGCTCTCTGCATTCAAGTACCTTGCTTCCCTCGTCTTCACAGGAGGACTGGCTGCACTTGAGGTCGCTCAGCTCCTGCTGGCAGAGCAGCAGGTCCTGCTCCAGCTGGTCATACATGTGCTTCTGCCGCTCCAGCTCCTCCTTGCTGCACTGATACAGCCCCTTCATCTCCTGGAGCTGGGCGTGCATCCCTGTGTTCTGGAGGGAGGCTGGCGTCACCCCACGTACCCTCCTATGCCTACTGCCTCACTCTGCACCTGTCTGCCCTGAGCTTCCCAACCCTGACTCCGTCCCAGCCAGGGAGACCTGGACAGGCTTGACACCCTGTCTCACGCTGTGAGACTTCCTCAGGAAGGAAGGAGGCTACAGGACTCCTTTCTGCAGACCGACTTCCAGTTTAAAACAAGAGGAAGTGTGGAGAGCTCGAAAGCAGCAGCCTACACTGTTTGGTCCACCTCAGCACTTCCTGCACACAGCTCCTGCAGCCCCATGCTGAGCTCACCCTCACGGAAGGCCCTGCCCAGCTGCCGGCTCCTGGCCCGGCCCTCCTTTTACCTTCTCGTTTTTTTCTCGCAAGCAGTCCACCAAGCCTCGGAGGTGCTGCAGCTCTGACTCATGGCAACGGAGCTTGTCCTGCAGGTGATGCTGCGCCTCCAGCAGCTTCTCCTTCTCACAAATGCTGCTCTGGTGTTGGGCCTGCAGCTTCTGGAGCCGGCACATTAACTCCTGCATGCAGGAGGCTCTGGGTAGTGGCACTGGGTTTCAGGACCTTGCTCTTCTCCTGACTCAGCCACTGACCACCTGAGAATCTACTTCCTCCTCTCGCCTGCCAGTCATCCTCCACCTATGCAGTACTTGAAGGAGCCAGCTTCCCACTGGCTTGTTTGTTTACAAGCACATGTAAGCCAGGCTATGTAGCTGGCACTGGCCTTGAACCCCTGAGTCTCCCTTCTTGGTTCTGTCATTACAGATATGTTCCACCACAGTAGGCTCCAAAACAAAAATAAATAAATAATAATAATAAAAAATCTCTTTTTGTTTTGTTCCAGTGGTAGGGGTTAACTCTAGGAGCCCACGGACAGAAGAGTCAGTCTACCAAAAGCCATCTCCCCAGCTCTGGAGCTACTGTTATTTACATTGCCCCCAAAACCTCAGCCCGCTGCTCTTGGCCCCTTCGCTGCCCCTTCGCCTTTGGCGCTGCTACCTTCTCGCTCTGGCTTTCTACGGCGCAGGCTCTGGTGACTTTGAGCTCCCGGAGCTCATTCTGAAGCTGCAGCTGCACCTTCAGAAGCTCACAGTGTTCATCCTGGCTAGCATCATACTTTTGCTGCAGGGCACAGAGCCTGCTCTTCAGCTCCTCGTTCTGCAGTGGGGAGGCGGGTAGAGCGGTTACTCTCTGGCAGCAGCATGCCCTGTCCAGGCCTCTGGGGCACTTTCTGGTACAGAGACCTTGGATCTACGGCTGGATTTCTTCCACGATGAAGACAATAGCGACACCTTTCTACATGCTATGTGGCTGCTATAAGCAGGGGCTTGGGACCTCGGTTGGGTTCTGGTCACAGGACAGGCGTCAGTGGAGGCCGGCCTCACTCCTAACGGCCAGCCTTCCCAGAGGCGGTGACTCTGGGCCTGCGGCCCTTCCCTAGCAGGCTTACCTGGGCTACGCTGTGGGAGGTCTGGCACCGAAGCACCTCGTTCTGGGCACACTTGAGCTCCCGCTGTAGCCGCTTGTGCTCCTCCTCGCTGACCCGGCGGTGGTGCTGCAGCTCCTCCAGCTCAGAGCACAGGCTTTTACACTGTGGGAAACAGAACAGGCTGACTTCTGCTCCACGACACACACACACTAGGAGCAGGGAAATACGGCACTCCTTCACTAGACATAGTCAGGTCTCCCTAACAACAGACTCACGCCCAGAACCTTGTCGTTCGGCTGCTGGATCACCGTGTGGCCACAACAGAGTACACTTACACAAATTTACTTAAGTGTGCCATGTGTGTCTGTGAGCATGCTGCATTGCTCCTACGGTGCTAACATACACCCTGAGAATGAACCACGCATGAAAGGAGATGATGCCATTAATAGAGGTGATGCATAGGAGGTATTTGAAGATGCTGTCACCATAATATGGCATCCTGGTTTGTTTGTTTTTCGAGACAGGGTTTCTCTGTGTAGCCTTAGCTGTCCTGGACTTGTTTTGTAGACCAGGCTGGACTCGAACTCAGAGATCTGCCTGCCTCTGCCTCCCGAGTGCTGGGATAACAGCTATGTGCCAACCACACCTGGCATCCTGTTTTTTTGTTTTGTTTTGTTTCTAAAGATTTATTGATTTATACAGTATTCTGCCTGCATGGACACTGCGTGGACACCTGCAAGCCAGAAGAGGGCACCGGATCTCATTACAGATGGTCATGAGCCACCATGTGGGTGCTGGGAACTGAACTCAGGACCTCTGGAAGAGCAGCCAGTACTCTTAACCTCTGAGCCGTCTCTGCAGCCCGTACATCCTGTTTTATAATGCACATTTTTTTTGCTTTTGTTTTTCTGGAGAAATACTTCTTAAATAAAAATAAAAGTACAGTGCAGTAGAAACACAAAATCTTAGCAGCCACTTTTCACCAACTCGTTGTGCTGTGTAACTATAGGCGGTACACCTTCGCACAGCTGGCCGCTTCTCACTCAGAAGGCTTCTTTGCACGAGCACCACCACACACATTCAGTGACATGCCACAACACTGGCAGGGGGAGAACTTTTCAGCATCCATACAACTGCATGGGCCACTGCCAAACAGCTGGCCATTGTTCTGATGGAAATGCCATCTCATGCTACATAGCTAGCAGTCAGGCAAGACCTCAGGACAGCAGCCCCGCCACAGTGCGCGGCTCCTTTGCTTGCCGGGACCCTCCTGCAGGCCAGGAGAGAGTGGATGACGTGGTGGCAGAAGCCTGCCCCCCAGCCTCTGCGGCCTACCTTGTTCTGCATGTCCTGCATTTGTTCCTCAGCTCCCAGCAGTTGCTGGCGCAAAAGCTGCATGTGCGGGTCAGGCTCTGGGAAATCCAGCTCTGACGTCTGCGACTCTGCTGACACCACATTCCTTAGAATCTGGGATTCCAACCATCGTTCTGTTGCTCTCCGTGTCCTGTAAGCCAGAGCCCAGGCTATATTGGGAGCAGCTCTGCCCAGTGTTTCCAGGCTAGACCAAAGTCACTAGAGAGCCTCTGCTGTGCGTTGCCTCTCAGACAACGCGTCAGAAGAGCATACAAACCTCACTGCGGGCATTCTAGCTTTGGGACATCTGAGGATGACTGACCTCGCTGGTTTCAAGGCTGGTTCAGGTGTCACGACACCTCCAACCTGGTGCCTATGCCAGTGGTTCTCAACCTGCAGGTCTCGAACCCTTGGGGGTCACATTCCAGACAGCCTGCAATGTCATGTGTTTCCATGCGGTTCACGGCAGCAGCAGAGCCGCGGTTATGAGGCGTCGCCACACTGTGAGGAGCCGTGCTAATGGCCGCAGCGTAGGAAGGCTGAGAACCAGTGCCCTTGCCAGCAGACTGAATCCAGCTGGGCTAGCGTTATCACTGTAACACAAAGCCGAGCTGGGGCTGCAGAGATGGCCCAGTGGGTGAGAGCACTGGCTGCCCTTCCAGAGCTCCTGAGTTCAGTTCCCAGCACCCACACGAAGTGTGACCACCTACAATTCGATCTGATGCCGGCTTCTGGAATGGCGGTGTGCATGCAGATTCAGCAGTCTTATACGTAAAATAAAGAAATCAATACTACTTTTTTAAAAAGCGAGCCAGCTGGACTCTAAGAACGGAGGAGAACTGCACTGTAGAGCTCACGTAACTAGCTGACACTGCTTGCTGGCGCTGTGCGCCTGCTCCTGGGAGGGCCGCACACCGGGCGCGCCTCTGCCTCTGGAAGGGCTCTGCACGGTTACCTGTCACTCTCCAGCTCGGCAAGCTGCCCCGTCAGGCTGCTGTTACTCTCCTGCAAGGCCTGGTACTCCTCGTTCAGGAAGTGGTAGCGCTCCCGAAGCTGCTGCAGCTCTTCTGCAGGAAGAAGCAGAAGAGAGGAGAGTGGTGAGCGTGTCCTCAGTGGACGGAACCAGGCAGCCTCGGCTGCTCTGTGACTTTAAACTTCACATCTTCCCGCTCCCACCTTGAGTGCTGGGATTACAAGTCTGAGCCACCAAGCCTGTCTTTTTATGTGGTACTGGGGATCAGACAGAGCTTCACGCCACTAGCAAGCACTCTCCCCCTGAGGCAGAGCTGTATCTTCACGACGCCTTCAGTACAAAACCCTGCGAGATGTGACCGGCCGGCTGCCCCTGCCCAGACCTGCCTTTCAGAGAAAACCTGCTCACACATTCTGAGTTTCCTTTACTTCCTTTATCTTCACGCTGAACACAATGTCCTGGACACACAGAAATAGTCTTTGTGAGGTTTTTGTTTGTTTTGGTGGGAAGGAATGGTGCTTAGGATAAAATCTAGGGCCTCCCTATGCCTGCCAGCTAGCACACGACCATGAAATCCATTTCCCCTCATTTGCTGAAAGAGAAGGCTATCCCAACCTAAACTTGTCTTCTCAAGCATTAGATCAGAGAGGAGGTCTGGCTGAAATTCCCCAGTTGTTACAAATACCCAAGTTTTATCTCTTTATGAATAAGAACCAACAGGGCTGGCAAGATGGTTCAGCTTTTAGGAGAGCTGCTGCTCTCACACCCTCGGGGCTGGCTCACGCCCTCGGCATCAAGGCCAGCTCCACTGTGTTGCCCAGGTGAGGTGCTGGGCGAGCTCTCCCAAGTTCTATCGCCAGTGAACGGGCAGGCAGGGCTAGCTCTCCCACTCCCAGGCCCTTAGAGCTAGCTCTCCTGACTGGCACAGGTGGTGAGGGGGAAAGGTGAGAGCCCCACACGCACACCCACACCATCTCACAGCAGAAAAGTGGTGGGGACAGCTCTCCTGTGCTCTCGTCCTCAGGGCTGGCTCAACCCCCTCAACCAGGGCCAGCCCTGTGCTGTCCAGGGGAGGTGTGGGGCCCTGCTGGGAGAGCTGGCCCTGCCCCTCACAGGCTGCAGCACGTGGCAGAGTGGGCCCCACGTCTTGACTGGGCAGCACAGTGGAGCTGGCTCTGGAGGCATGGGTCCATGTGAGTCAGCCCAGGGCATATGTGAGCTGGAGAGCTGGCCCTGCCTCCTCCTGATGGCCGCACTGGGTAGCCTGTCCAGAGCAATGATGGAGAGCTTGCCCTGGTGGTGTGGGGAAGGGACAGCTGGCGGCTGACCAGCTCTGCTACCACCCAGGCCCAGACCCAGGGCTCTGAATTGGCCCACCCTAAAATGTGTATCATATGAAAACAGTTGGGACATGTCCTAGTGTCCCAGCTGCAGGATCTCCATGACACAGAGCAACAACAGGACAACTGGGAGGAGTCCCGGTGCGGATCCAATATTGGTGTCACAAAAGCCACAGATCTTGACCCAGACCAATGATTCACTGCAATGAACATCTGCAATGGAAGACGTGTGGACAGAGGGATGTTCTGTGGGCCACACTGTGACACACTACAGCTTCCACAATGAGATATTTTCTTGCTTTGTGGTTGGTTGGCCATGTGCTTTTAATTTGGGGAAGGAGGTTGCGAAGGCAGAGGGTGGGTACGAGGGGATGGGAATGAGTGGGACTGGGGTGCATGGCATGGAACTTGCAAAGAATCAATAAAAAGGTCCCAGCGCCCACAACTCTGGCTCATAAGCGCCTGTAACTGTAGCTCTAGAGGATCCAGGGCCCTTTTCTAGACTCAGCAGTTACCCAAACATGTGGCAGACACACAGACACAGACACATGTGCCTATAAATAAAAGCAAATAAATATTTAAAGAAAATAATAATAATATCCTGAGGCTGGGAAGGTTGCTGAACGGGTCAAGTGCTTGCCTGTGTAGACGTGAGGACCAGAGTTCAGATTCCCAGGAGCTCTATAAGAAGTCAGAAACGGCGGCTTAGACCTATAACCCCAGCTCTGAGGTGGAGACCAGAGGACTGCGGGGCTCCCTAGTGAGCCGGAGTAGCCAAGGTGGTAAGCTTCGGGTTCAAATGACAGAGCCTGTCCCAAAAAAGGTAAGACAGACGCTGACAGAGGCGGACAGCACGTTGCCCCAGGCTGCTACTGCGCACACACCAGCACACACTGCACCGACAGGTAAGCGACACTAGCTGGCCTCAGGAGAAGACACGCTGCTTGCCAGGAGAGCCACATCCCTGAACATCACTTCTAACGTCAGGTTCTTAACATGGGCCCAGGCACCGAGGCACATGTACATCTGCGCATGTGGGAGGCAGAAGCAGACAGGCCTCTGCGAGTGTAAGGCCAGCCTGGTCTACAGGACAAATTCTAGAACAGCGAGGGCTATGTAGAGAGACTTGTCTCAAATAATTAAATAACTAAATTTTAAAAAGATGTTCTTATACTACTGAAGATTACCAAAGGAAAGAGTGAGAACTAACTGTCCACGAAGTATTGGACTTGATGGTTTTGACCTTCATTAAATCCTTGAAATAGCCCTGCATAAGATCTCCTGCTTAAATAAACCTCTAATTTATTTTAGAATAGTTTTAGATTAACTTACAAAAAAAAAAAAAAAAAAAAAAAAAAAAAAAAAAAAAAAAAAAAAAAACAACAACAAAAAAAAAACACAATCTTTTATTTATAAGCCAGTACAACATTCCCTGGGAGAATTCTCGCCCAGGGTCGTCAGCTGTGAAGCGTCTTATGCGACCATCACCTCCTTGTCATGACCAGCAACGACACATTACAATTAACTCCATGTAGCAGCCAGGTTTCTCTGTTTCCCTCAGGCCCCTCTTCTGTTCCAGTGTCCCACCCTGCTGTAAGGCTGTATTAGCCACGTGGGTTCCATGTTCCAGATATAGAAATGAGGCTTGGAGGGGCTGCAGAGACGGCTCAGCAGCTAAGAGCACTGGCTGCTCTTCCAGAGGTCCTGAGTTCAATTCCCAGCAACCACATGGTGGCTCCCAACCTTCTATACTGGGATCCGATGCCCTCTTCTGGTGTGTAGGTGTACATGCAGATACGCTACTCATATATATGTAAAATAAATGTTTTTTTAAAAAAAGAAATGCAGCTTGGAGTTAGATTATAACTTCACTAAGACAGGCCTGCTACCCCAGTGAGCCTCAGGTTAGGTCTACTCTAGCTGTGCCATTTCCCCCTGCCGTCTGAGCACCGCTAGTCCACAGGCACTTCTGAAGAGCATAAAGCAGCTGGGAAAACTTGCAGTTCTTTGATTTCCTTGTTGACTGTCTCCGCTTGACCTGGACAAATATAGGGCCTCCATTGTACCCAGATCATAAATCCAGGCTAGAATAAAAGGCAACCCCTCTGATGTCACGAATCCTAGCAACTAGCTGGGAGATGGTCCGAACACAGGGCTGGGAGCTTTTGAGTACCACGTGCATTACCAGAAATAAGCTTTCTTCCTCGCCAGCTGCCCTGTGCTCTGATTTGTCGCCTCCCAAAGTTCCTACTCTGGGGAGGGCTAAATGCACCCAAGAATTGGCATTCTGGGTCTAAGCAGGTTCAGGCAAATAGCCCTGATGCCACGGGAGCAGGAAGGGTTTCCGAAGGTGGCAGGTCCTTCTGTGTCCACCCCAGACCTGGACAGTCTCCTCCAGAGGACCTTCCCATCGTCAAATCAACAAGTACCCAACAGCTCTCTGTTAAGAATCTCCAGGAAACACCTTCCCGGCACGAATTCTTACAGCGCCGTGGACTGGTTACGTAATGGCTGAGTTTTTCTCTCAGTCTGGAAGCAAGCCCGAGGGGTTTTTCCTAGAGGTTTCTAATGCATGATCCATGATCCACAATATTCCTCCACCACCTTCCTCTCTGTGGCGCCCTCTCCTTCGCGGACCCTGTGAAGACCCTGGGATCACATACCTTGTATCCCAGAGAAGTCCGAAACGCTCAATTCAGATGGCTCAGAAGTCTTCAGTTCCATTTCTGCCCGGAGTGAGGCAATTTCCAGCTCGTAATCCCCCCGGATGCGCTCCATGTCGTCCAGCTCATTCTGCAGACGGCAGAGGTCTTCCTGCAGGGACGCCACATCGCTCTCGTGCTCCGTGGCGGAGTCGGCCGCCGCCTGGCGCAGGCTCTGGATCTCCGCCTGGGCCAGGTGCAGCTCCTGCTCGATCTCCTTCAGCTCAGTCTCCTTCTCGCGCTCCAGCAGGGAGATCTCCTCCCGCAGATGTTGCAGCTCGCCTGCAAACCAAAGCCTGGCGGTCAGGGAGACAGGTGGGAGACAGGTGGGAGACCCGAGCCTCGACCCCAGCCTCGACCCCAGCACATTCTAGAAGCGGAGCGTTCAACAGAGACTCACTACGGATCGGACGGGAGAAGCTGGGTGTCCTACCGCACAGAACCAAAGGATGCCCGACTCGGAAACAGAGTAAGTCTTTGGAGGAGAATGTGGCAGAAAGGCAGACTTTGAGGCCTCACACATCACTAGCATGTGGGCTAGTGTGAAAAAAAAAAAAAGTATGAAATGCTATGAAAACAAGTACAGTGCCATATGCATGGAAATGCTATAAGGAAACCTATTTGTATGCATATATATGTATGCATGTATTAAAAGTGCTAAAGAATCACTCGACAGTTTAAAACCCAACCCAACCCACTATGTGTGGCAACTCACACCTGTCGTTCCAGACTTGAGAGCTGGAAACAGGAAGATCAGAAATTCAAGGTCATTCTCAGCTGTGTTGTGAATCTGTGTCTAGCCTGAGCTAGATATTCTATCTCAACAAAACAACACAAAATACCTACCTAATAGGTAGTATGTTAGCTACCTGTCATGTTTTTGTTATCTACCTATTATTTTTTTCCATAGCTAAAAACCTTGCAGAGGGTTTTCACTTATCTGTCCTGGGAGCTTAGGAAATACAGGGCCTCAGAGGTCCCCCTTACCCCAAATTCCCCATAAGCACAGGTTACAAGACAGCACTTGTAAGCCAAGGTCAAATTTAAAAAGAAATCTATCATAAGATAATAAAACATGGAAAACCTACATGGTGACTGATAGCTTTAACTGTCTGAATCAAAGGGCCTTAGCACAAGCCAATTGTTAGTTAGATCTCCAAAAACATTATGTCCACATAAACCTTTTTACTAACTGGAAAGATATGAAAGTGTTTCCATAATATATTATCTAGAAAGAAAAACAAGTCAGTTACTATACAACATAAACACTGAAAGATACAGCAGAAAGGTCTAAAAAGACCTATGCCCAAAGCCATAAAGAGCAGTTGCTTCAAGGCTGGGAAAAGCGCTTGCCGGTAAGCATAAGGGCCAGACTTCTGATCCCCAGCACCCATAGAAAAACCCACACATGGACTGGAGAGGTGGCTCAGCCATTAGGAGCACTGACTGCTTTTCCAGAGGTTCAGAGTTCAATTCCCAGCACCCACAGAGTGGCTAACAACCTTCTATAATGCTGGTGCCCTCTTCTGGTGTGCAAGTGTGCGTGCAGACAAAGCACCCATATACATAGATAGATAAATGCAGGCGCCAGGCGCGGTGGAGCACGCCTGTGATCCCAGCACTCAGGAGGCAGAGGCAGGCGGATCTCTGTGAGTCTGAGGCCAGCCTGGTCTACAAAGTGAGTCCAGGATGGTCAGGGCTACACAGAGAAACCCTGTCTTAACCTCCCCACCTTAAAAAACAAAAACACAACCCAGACATGGTGGTGTGAGTCAGTAACCCTAGCTAGCCCTTGGGACTGCGGAGTGGGGGTAGGAGGCACACAGAGATCAGCTTGCCAGTTTAGCTGTATCGGCGAGGTCTTGGCTCAATGAGACTGAACCAAAAATAAGGGGAAGAATGACTGAGGAAGACACTGACCTTGACCCCTCCCTCCCGTCTGCACACTCACGTTCACACATGTGCATTTACACATTCACAGAAAATACATTAAAAAAAACAGCAATGGCCTTAGAGCAGAGGGACAACCTGTGACGGGCATCTTTACCTCATAGTGGCATTGCTCCGTTTCTACAATTTCTACGTTTTGCACGTGGATCACGCACAGATTTTAATTTGCAAAGCTAATGTGTCACAACTCTGTGGAGTATCTGAGGTTTTGTTGTTTTTAAGACAGGGAGGGGTCTCATTCTGCGGCACAGGCTGGTCTCAAACTCACTCGGTGTCAGCCTCCCAAAGGACGGGATTACCGCCTGGAGTCACCACATCCAGTTTTGCGTCTCAGATTTCTGGATGCAGTACCCACTTGGAATGGGTGAAAACAACTCAAAAGCGGACAGTTAAAGGCATTCCAGTGAGAACTCAGAAGCAGGCCTAAGGGGTTAAAGGGAACTGGACTTTATGCCGCCCTGACGCCCTCTCCTCTGCTCATTCTACCAAACATCCACATTTTCCCTTTTCCTAGCCTCTCCCCCACCTCCTCCAAATTCAAGGGCGCAGTTGTGCATGCCTGTAGCGGCAGCCCTCTAGAGCCTGAGGAAGAGGATTTCTGGAGCCTAGGAGTTTGAGACCGGCCTGTGTCAAGCTGTACGGGGAGGAGGAACGCAGGGAGAAAGGACCCATTCGGATAGGTGGCAGATACCAATGGTAGGTGGACAGGGCACCTCAGGAAGCGTCAGGCACTGCACTGTGTCTCTAGGCACGGCTTCCCCTCTCAAAGGACGGAAGCAAAACCAGCACGTTGCCCCATTTCAGAAACTTCATGGCCAAGAGACGAGGAGCCTGTCTACGCCACCCCACAACACGAATACCCTCCACAGTATGAGAGGCTGGCTGAGCGCTAGACGAGCTCGGTCCAGTTGGAGGGAGGCCTGGGGGGAGGTGTCAACTGGTCACTGTGACGAGGTGAAGGCCCGGGGGCCTGGGCGGCGCGTCCTCAAACCTCGCTCGGGACCGCGGGAGCGGGGGGAGTGACGGCCCAGGCCCCCCCCCGGGCGCTGGATGGGGCGGCCCGGGCAGGGGTTGGAGAGGCAGGGAGGGACCAGGTTCCAAAGAGCTGGCGCCGGTTGGGACGCCCGGGTCCTCGGGTTCCCCCGGGGCGGCGGAGGGCTCGGGAGCCGGCCGGCGGGGCGCAGAAGGCAGCTCCCACTTACTGGTTATGGCCTGCATCTCGGCGGCCCCCCACCAAGCAGTCTCCCAGGGGGGCCTCCCGCCTCCGGGCCGGTGCCGCCCCGGGGGGCCTGTCGCGGCCGGAACCGCCTCTGAACACCAGGTACCTCTGAGGCCGCGAGCGCCCCCGCTTGGCGGAAACGGGCAACGCGCGTGCGCACGGACAGGTCTCGCTCTGGCTCCCCCGGGGGCGGGGCCCGCAGCCCCTCACCCCGGGACCGCAGAAATGCAGCCACGACTCTGCTTTCCTGGTCTTCCATGTTTTCAGCCTTCTCCGCACCGGGAAGACAGGAACTTGACTAGGCTCAACTGGACCCTTTCCTTCACAGTATAAACAAGATCAAGGCGGCCTTACAAACCTTCTCCCTTGACCTCACTTCGCCTTCCCTTATTTCTCTTTATGAACATCACCGTGATCTGCCCTCAGTTCTCCACCCGACCTCCTGTTCTCTCTCCATTCCCAATCCAGTCTGCTATGTCTCCTGGTTCTCCATCTTGCCTTGAAGATCCTGCCGCCACCCCTCTTGCCTTGAAGCCTTTTTTGCTCTTGGTTTCGGGACAGAATGAAGTTAGGTGTTCCTCCTATCACGTCTCTTTTCCCATTCCTCCTACTATCTTGGGCCTCTGGTTAGGTCGGCGTCTCTGTGGACCCTTTCTCTCCCCTCTGTTATCTCTTTTTGTCACTGAATGTCCACACACCACAGACTATAATACTGTCTGCATGCTATTAATTACCGAATCTCACTTCCAGCCCTTGCTTCTCCCCCAGTTCCGGATTCATACATCCAAATGCCTCCTTCACATACTCACTTGAACATCAAACTCATCCAGCAAAAAAAACTTAAATGGCTTCCCTAGTCCCCCAAGCAAATTTCTTACCAAGCTCTCCATGCCGATTAGGTATCAGTATTTACCCAGTTTCTCCCGGCAAGGCCGTGCGTGAAGGCTCCACCTTCAAAATACATTCTGAACCATCTCCATTTCTACCGCCCTAATTAAAGAAAACAATCAGGCCAGGCCGGTGGCAAAGGCCTGTAATCCCAGCACTCAGGAGGCAGAGGCAGGCAGATCTCTGAGTTTGAGGCCACCCTACAAAGTAAGTCCAGGACAGCCAAGGCTACACAGGGAAACCCTGTGTAGAAAACCAAAAGGAAAAAAGAAAAAAATCAGTTAAACGGACCACGAGCATGCCTCACCCCCTCCTCCTGGATTCTAAAGAACTCTTTTGAAAATGTAAAAAGTTTAGGGCTGTTGCTCCGTGGGAAGCATTTGACAAAAATCTTGGATTCAAGTCCCATGACAAAGCAAAGGCAAAGCTAAGCTAAAAATATAAAACATATCAGTCCCCCCAGCCTTGGAAAACACCTCCCACAGAGGCCACTTCACTTACAATGAAAGCTAGCTCAGTCAGCTGACCTAAAAGGCCTGCTGTAGCCAGACCTTGGCCTTCTTGGAAACTTCTCTTTCCTTCACATGAACTTCAGAATGACCCTGGCTGTGCCCCCAACACAACAGTTGCTGCTCCTTCTGCTTCTCAGATCCATGGCTAGATCTTTCCCATGACTCAAGCCAAGCACCATCATCTTGAGGGCTTTCACTACCTAACACCTACTTTATCCCCGTCCACATACCACACGTCTATATTGAGTTCATGCATGTATTGCCTGTTTTGCCACATGAACTTAGATTGTTTATGTTTTCCTTTAGGATTTATTTATTTCTCTTCCCTTTTCTTTTTGTTTTGTTGTTTTGAAGACAGGGTTTCTCTGTGTAGCCTTGGCTGTCCTGGACTCAATTTATAGACCAGGCTGGCCTCGAACTCTTAGAGATCTTCTTGCCTCTGCCTCCTGAGTGCTGGGATTACAGTTGTGTGCCTCCTCGCCTGGCTTCGGTTACTTGGTTGGTTAGGTTTTAATACATCAGGGTCTCATGAAGCTCAGATAGCCTTGAACTCACCTTGTAGTCAAGGCTGGCATCAAAATCCTGATTTTCCTGCCTTTACTTCCCACATACTTTGGTTACAAATGAGCCTGTACCACCCCGCCTGGCTGTGGAACATACTCTTCAGGGATTCAGTCAGCTGGGTTCTTTGTTGGTCCTTTAAATATAAAGGTTCTCAACAAAGAGTCGACAGACAAATGAGTTAGCCCTGTTTTACAGACAAGAAGCTGAGACTCTGACTAAGATTCTCTTAGATTCTCTAAGACAAGAAAATCTGTACATGGTAAAGCTAAACCCAGGAGTTTAGATGATGTGAACCCCCCCCCAAGCCCTCCCTGTGCTAGGCGTCTCTGCCATTTTTCTTCTCTCTGCCACCTTCCCTGCTTCTCCCTTTGCTTACATCTTATACTCTGCTCTTCTGCTCCTCCTCTTACATATTCGCTTGTTCTCTCCAGGAAGGCTTCCAGACGTTTTTTCCCCTCCATTTATGCTGTTCATTTGGCTTGATCTCAGCTCTCCCCACAGAGGCCCTGCTGTTTTCTGGGGCAGATCCTCCAAGCCTTCCGGAAGCCCTCAGAAGCATCAGAAGCTCCCTCTTTATTTGGTATGAGTGCAATGGAATGTGGGACGCCTGCCTCACCGCCTGGGCTCTGGGGCCATGGACTCAGGTTCTCATGTTGCCTTCAAAGACACGTGGCATGTCCTCCAGTCCTGCCCCTAACCGTTGGAGGGACCAGAAAGAGAAACACAGCCTGGACCTCGGCCTTGATCACAGCCCTGGCCCTGGGCAGAGAACAAAGCAAACAGGGATGCATGCAGGGTGAAGGAGGAGGCCAGGAAGAGAAAAGGGAAAGAAGGAACCCCAGCAAGAAGATGAAAGATAGGCAGGCAGGAGACAGGAGGTCAGGCTCACCATGGAGAAATGTTAAGACAGGAAATTAAGGGAAGAAGAGAACAATGGGCAAGGAGGAAGGAGTGAGAAAAGACAGAGAGGAGAGAGGTGGCTGAGTTAGGCTTGTTGGAGCAGGGTGGCCAATGCCCCTCTGTCTAGACCCGAGGGCTGTACCTTGGAGCTGCTGAATCTGCTTGGTGAACACTTCTGCCTGCTGGGCGCTGGCCAGGCGTTCATCCTCCAGGAGCCCTGTAGTCAGAGAGACACCTGCTTTGGAACCAGGGAGCCGCAGAGCCTCGGGGCAGGCACCCTGCCCCGCCCCAGGCGCTCACCTTGAAGCTCCAGGGAGTCATCTGCGTGCTGCCCAGCAAGCTCCCGGGTCTCTTCCAGCTCTGCCACCAGCTGCAGCACCTGAGCCCTCAGCTCCTCCAGCTCTGTCTCTGTGAGGCTCAGGCCCCGGTGCTTGCCCACAGACAGGGAGCCTAAACTGACTCCTTTCTCTACTTGATCTTCTTCGACCTCTTCCTCTTCCTCCTCCTCTTCCTCCTCATACAGAGCTGGAAGTAACACCTCCCCTAGGAGAGACAGCACCCATTCCCATCAGCAGTCTTTCCTGCATTTAGCACCCCAGGCCTGGACAGTAGTGCCATCTGGTGTCCCCTGGGGCACCCCAGCAGGACCTAACTCATGGGGAGGCTCTGGTGGGTCAAGTCTGGAAGCACCCTCTGACACTTCCAAGCGCCAAATATTAGACATCTATTGCCTTTACAGCTACAAGAGGCTTGCACGACCACACCTGGCACTTCTAGTCTGATGGCTGGGGACAAGGAGTCAAGCAAGGGTCCAGACATTCCAGACATTCAGACACAAGCTCTGTGTTTAGGCCAAATGAGGCAACACTGGGACCAAAAACAAAGAAACAAACAAAAAAAAAAAAAAAAAAAAAAACCATCCAGGTTGCTTGCAAGATACTAGCCTTTTAATAATAATAAACACTGGCTTGGTCTGTAGCTGGAGAAGGAAATCATTAAAAGAAAATGACTTGGAGTTGTTTACTGGATAAATTTGGGAGTCTTTTCAAATGTATGCTATCAAATACATTTTTGGAATTTGAATTTTCACCTCTCATTTCCCTGTTGGGTGCCATGAGGCCCAACTTTTTCCTGCTGACTCGAGTTGGTTTTCAGGGTCAGTCTGTGGCTGAACTCATGTATAAAAGATAGTCTACCATCTTAATAAAGTCTTTAAAATTACTTATTTAATGCACACATGTGTTTTCTCTGTATGTGTGTCTGTCCACCACGTGTGCACAGTGCCCTTGGAGGTCAGAAGGGGGTATTCGATCCTCTGGAACTGGAGTTCCGGACAGTTGTGAGGTGCCATGTGGGTGCTGGGAACCAAACTCGGGGCAACTGCTAAGCCACTCTCCAATCCTGTTAACACCTCTGCAGACTCAGTCGGTCTGGTCCTCATTTTCGGGTTGGTGCACACTCCTCCTTTTACTGCAGTGCAGTTCCTGAAAATAGCAAAATCTGGTCTTGGTAGAGATTGTTGGTCTTCCCTTTTCTAACCCCAGCAGCACATGCTCAGCTGAGACCCCTATGTCATCCAGTCCCGGGGGTGGGGCTGTGCTGAGCCTCAGAGGGGCCTGGGGACGCTCCCACAGTGTGTCGGCGACACCGCCCTGTCACGGCCTGTCACGTGGGTGTGGTGTTGGGAAACGGGCTTCACCTAGTTCTAAGCCTCTCACTAAAGCCGAGAGGCTCTATTAGAGCTGACAGTGGTGGCACAAGGAAGACAGTTCCATGCCCACGTCCTGGTCCTGGCTTTTTCTTTAAGTTAGTTTGTTTATTTATTTATTACAATTTATTCACTTCCTATCCCAGCTGTAGTCCCCTCCTCTCAGTCCCGCCCCGCCCTTCTCCCCCTAGGTCCCTCCTCTAGCCCACTGAAAAGGGAGGTCTTCCTCCCCTTCTATCTGACCCTAGCCTATCCATCAGGTGGCATCATCTTCCTCTGTGGCCTGGTAAGGCTGTGCCTCCCAGGGAGGGTTACATCTGACAGAGGGCTAATATCCAGAATATATAAAGAAGTCAAGAAGTTAAACACCAACAAACCAAGTAATCCAATTAAAAAAATGGGGTTCAGAGCTAAACAAAGAATTCTCAACAGAGGAGTATCGAATGGCAGAGAAACACTCAACTTCCTTAGTCATCTGGGAAACACAAATCAAAACGACCCTGAGATTCCACCTCACACCCATCAGAATGGCTAAGATCAAAAACTCAAGGGATGACACATGCTGGAGAGGACGTGGAGAAAGGGGAACCCTCTTCCGTCGCTGGTGGGAATGTAACTTGTACAACCGCTTTGGAAATCAGTGTCCTGGCTTTTAGCGTGAGAGACAGCTTGGGATCTGGGTCAGCAGGCAGTGAGAACAAGCCCCCTGCCGAAAGGCTGCTTCCAGGCTCTGCTCAGCAGGACCTCTTTCTGTCTGGCAGCTCCCCCAGGACAGCTGGTTAGCTGGGTGATTGGGGCCCCAAAGGGCCGTGCCTGAACTTCCATCAGTGCCTGAGCCCAGGGGAGGCTTGGAGCTCAGCCACCAGGGAGGAGGGGCCTGAGAAGAAGTGAGAGAAGGGCCAGGGTGGCTCAGAGCTCTGGGGTCAGAGACTGGAGGAGGAAGGGAGTTAGGGAGGAAGGTGATGGAAAGCCTTTGCAGAAAACTCACCCTCCATAGCTTGCATCCCGCGGCGCTCCAGGGACGCCCAGCGTTGGCCTTTCTTCCTCTCACAACCCTCAGACACCTCACAGGAGCCTACAGTGGTTACTGTGGGTCCTGTGAGCAGGAGAAAGAAGACTCTGAAGGAGTCGGGAGAGCCTGGGGCTGAGGGGATGGCGAGGGACGTGCGCTCTGGCAGGGGAGCCCGCCGGAGGAGCCTGACTCACTCTGCCCGGCTCTGACTCTACTCCTTCCGCTACCTCTCAGGCTCCGCCTACGGAGAGGACCCCAGCCCGGCGCTGCCCCACCTCGGCACCCCTGTTCCCCTCTCGCGCCGAGAGAGAGGGTGAGTGTTTAGCCTGGGGCACAAGGAGAAGAGGGGTAGGATGGGAGCGAGCAGAGAAGGGTCTGGGAGGATGCGATGGAGCGAGGCAGGGGAAGGGAGGGGCGGCCGGACTAGGAGGGAAGGGCTCCATCCCAGACCGGTCCTCCCTCTCGCCCCTCTCCTCCGCCCCCAGACCTCGCCTCACCCACCCGCGCCCCGTGGCCGAGAGCTTTTGCGAACTGGAAGGGTGCAGGCTCTCGAGCCTCCCCCTTCCCCCTCGCGAGCTGGAAGCGCTGTGGGGCCGGAGAGACCAGGTTGGGAGCGCTTGGGGAGTGACCGCCAGGGAGGGGACGGAAGATGGAGAGCGGCGGTGGAGGCCGGGGTGGAGGGGGCCCCGAGGGTCCGCAGGAGGGACAGGCGCGGGAGAAGGAGCGTGGGGAGAGGCGGCTCTGACCTGGGCCGGGGCAGCTCCAGCCCGCGGCTCCCGCGCCGGCCCCGCCGCCTGCCTCCATGGCCGCCGCCGCCGCCGCCCGAGCAGAAGCCGCAGCCGCGGGGCCGGGGACCCGGAGCCCGGTGCGCAGGGAGGGGGAGGCGGGCCGAGGGGGCGGGGCCTCCACCTGACGCCGGAGCCCGCCCGGAAGCCCTCCCGCCCCCGCTCCGGCCCGGGTGGGGACCCGCGGAGGAGGCCACCCCTGCCCCCGGCTCGCCCGGCTGCAAGCCCCACCCGGGGTCAGTCGCGCGTGGGGACCTCGGTGCGCTGGGTTTCAGGGCCTGGTCCTGCGCGGTGGCTGAGGCCGAGGAAACAGGAATGAGCTGTTTCCTGCAGATGCGCAGCCACGCGCGGCGCACCTCCGGGCCCACGCAGGGCCAGCGTCCCCATCCCCTCAGCTGCCCGAGCCCGTCCCCTCCTCGTGGCCTCGCGCGGCCAGGGCCACTGCAGGGCTGGCAGGTGGGAAGTTGAGATGTGCCAACGGCAAGGCTTTTCCCGATTTCCCACTGAGCCGGAGCCAAGGGTCCACGCAGGCTGTCCTGACCTCTCCCGCGTCCTTTGAGCCCCTCCCCCGCCCCGTGACCTGCAGTGTGGGCACCACGAACGGACGCCCAGCAGTCTTTCTCTGGTGTTCTCACGCCTGAGGCCTGGGCATGGATGGCCCTGTCCCCCCCCAGGCGGCCCGGTCTCAAACTCCCCCCAGGAACGAAGCACTTCTTGCTTGCTCATCCTCCGCTACTCAGTAACTTCAGTCCCTCAGCCCCGGTGAGAGTCACTTCCCACACACCCCTTCCCTTCCCTATTAGATACCTCTGCTGAGCTCTTCGGACCCTCTGGAGAGCACCAGAGTACTTCCTGCTAAGGTTGGGGAGAATCCTACTCATCTTTGTAACTTCTGCTTCCGACAGAGTAACTGACCCATGGAATAAACGAGGAAACATCAATTTTCTAACTGCACTAGTAATGCCCTCATCATTTATCACGGATTTTTAACTCGTGCGCTTAAAGTCACGTTCCCTAGTAACAATAATGTCCACCAGGCAGTAGTGGTCTATGCCTTTAATCCCAGCACCTGGGAGGCAGAGGCAGGCAGATCTCTGTGAGTTCGAGGCCAGCCTGGTCTACAGAGTGAGTTCCAGGACAGCCAGGGCTACACAGAGAAACCCTGTCTTGAAAAACAAAAAGTCCAAAAGTCAGTAGTTAGTGCCATCTCCCCGTCCCCCAGCTGGTGATTGGTGGGATGAAGGAAGATCAATTCACCTTCTCCCCAGAGGACACGCTCCCACGCTGGAGGCCACACAGGAGAGCTGCTGGGCAAGCCTGTTGTGTAGACCCAGACTTGGGCAGCAAGGTGACAGTGGTAGAGATGGTGGGGGAGCTAAAGGAGAGTAACCCCAGAGACTCAGCAGCTCCGCCCTGCGCATTTCCTTCTGGTTCTGTCTCTCCCCGAGGGCAGGCTAGCCCTGGGTAAATGGAAAGAGAAAAGTGGTCAGTTGTGACATCCTTCAGAGAGCCTGGGTCTCGAGCCTTAGGACTGCCTTCCTGGTTCCATCGCTCACTGTTGATCTGGGGGGAACGCCCTAGTCAGATCAGTGGGGGGGGGGGGGGAGATGAGGGTGAAGCCACAGAAGGAGCTTAGCAGGTATGAGGAGGGGGTCGGGGGTCTGTTTCTGAAAGGCCAGGCCGGCTGTGCCAGCCCGGTGATCAGCTTAGAATGATGATCCGGATTCACCCTCTTAATCCCAGGGTTTAGGACTCAGCCTCACCCCCAATCCCATCCCAGGAGATCATCCCCTCTGAGGGCTGATGCAGCCATTTATCCCCCTCATTTTTAAGTGCTCAGAGTACCCATCAAAGCATTTTAAAAATGAGTGTTTGCTACATGCAGAGAGTAAAGCTCAAGTCTGTGCACACCAGGCTATTTGTATCTTCTCATTGTCCTTGCGGTACGGGGGATTGAACTGAGGGCCTTGTGCATGGTAGGCAAGCGCTCTACTACCTAGCTACATCCCTAGCCATCTTCAAATTTTACTTTGAAACAAATTATGTATATACTATTTATATGTAAAATATTTCAATACAAAATATTATATGTTATATATTTTTGGTTTTTTGAGACAGGGTTTCTCTGTGTAGCCTTGGCTGCCCTGGACTCTCTTTGTAGAGCAGGCTGGCCTCGAACTCACAGAGATCGGCCTGCCTCTGCCTCCCGAGTGCTGGGATTATAGGCATGCTCCACCACACCTGGCTCAAATGTTATATTTTTTATTAATTCTTTGAGAATTTCGTACAATGCACGTTGAGTCTTTTCACCTTTGCCAACTCTCCCACATCTACCCTCTTCACCCTGTCCTCACTAAGCACGACCCCCAGCTTTGAGTTGTCTTCCTGTATTTCTTTTCTTTTTCAGTTGTGCTTCTGCCCTGGGGAGCAGCGTCTGCAGCGTCAGCGTCTACTGTAGGGTGGCCCGCTGACCAGGGGGTATGATCACTCCGGAAATCAGCAGAAATTTTTAAATTGACTTATTTGATTGTGTGTGGGCATTTTTACCTGCATTCGTGTCTGTGCACCACATGTGTGGAGTGGCCATGGAGGCTGGAAGAGGGCATTGGACCCCTGGAAGGAGAGTTGCAGATGGTGGTGAGCTGCCCTGGGTTCTGAGTTTGAATCCAGGTCCTCTGGAGAGCACACACTCCCTCCCTCTTGTACAAGGCACGTAGCCACCCAGTTCCTTACCTTGGACACATACACACCCTCCTTACACACTGCACCTCACGTCCGTGGGCCTCAGCCAGGCTGCACGCGCACCGCCACTCTTTGAACAATGCCCTAAGTTTCTTCACCTCTAACAACTATCAGGTAGTTTATTCAAATGTATTCCCAAAGGGACTGCAGAGCTGCCTCAGCTGTTAAAGGCCAGGCTTATGATAATAAGAGTTTTTCAAAAAGACAAGTATATTCCCAACACATCTGAGTAGAAAAAGAGAAAGGCGGATCCAACCTGGAATGGTCTGGGGGTGTGCCACACTCAGGTAAAACTGTATCCCTGAGTAGTTTTCACAGAGAACCCCTTATCTGTTAGCTTCTGTACAACTGATTAAAATCAAGTGAATTATGGGAAGGGGTTTGTGAAAAATAATAATGTGACCCAATCTGTTAATCAAAACAGAGAGCTGCTCTTAATTGTGCACTTCAGTGACCAAGCTCCTTCCTTGAACCCCATATGAGGAAGCCTCAAGTCATAATTGGGGCCTTGGACAGTTTCTCCCTCCTGTGGACCACTGATCCCTTATGGTGTATTTCTTTCTGCTCTATACCGTTGGCTTTGCTTTTGAATAACGTTCCCTTGCTACTTTGCAAATCTGTGCCAGCCCTTATTTGAATTAGAAGCCTGGAACCTGGAAAAACCCAACCCAACCCGGACCACCAGGAACAATCCCATGGTTTGAAGCTTGTACTCTTTATGTATATATTCACAAAAGTATGTAATTTTTACAAAATTATTTATTATGTATACAGTGTCCTGCTTGCACACCAGAAGAGGGCACCAGATCTCATTATAGATTGTTGTGAGCCACCATGTGGTTGCTGGGAATTGAACTCAGGACCTCTGGAAGAGCAAGCAGTGCTCTTAACCTCTGAGCCATCTCTCCAGCCCAAAATTATGTGATTTTAATGTGTGTGCTTTAGACATCTAAATAACGTTTCTTATCCCCCTTTGTGTGCAAGCCTTAAAGTTTTAGGTATCCATGGTTTTACATAGCTCTGTTTTCCTCTAGTGGGCGTCTGGGCTGCTTGCAGTTTTCTGTGATAAAGTAAAAGCTGCAACTGGCCATTCTATAAATTTCTTCTTGGCACGCATGTGGCTGGGTCCCAAGAGCAGATAACTAGAAGGGAATTGCTGGGTCATGAAATAGGTGCTTCTAGATTTTACTAATTGTTGCCAAAATGAGTTGTGCCAATTGAAATGCCATTCTTTTCGGATTTATTTACCTTCTTTATTTCCCAGCCACCACTGATGTGGACGCTGCTCCTGCTGGTCTTCTTGGACACCCTTCTTCAGCTCTCTCCCCCTCCCTTTCTTGAGACAGGGTCTCACTGTGTAGCTCTGCGCCTGTGCAGCTCATTGGCTGGCCCAGAGCCTGCTGTGCAGACCAAGCTGGCCTCAAATTTACCAACATCTGTCTGCCGCTGCCACCCACGTGCTGGGATTAGAGAATGGGCCGCCACACCCAGCCGTTTTTTGCGATCTTCGAATCTTCAGTCAGCATGATTTTCTAGCAAACAGAAGTGGCTAGACCACGCCAACGCTTTCAACATGGCACTTTGGCTTCACCTTGTTTCTAACACACTAACATTAATCCCAACATCACGTGTCCTCACCATCAGCACGGTTTAGAGTTTTGTCTGTTTTCTTTGAGATAGGGTCTTATGTATCTCACACTGGACTGGAGCCCTAAGAATGACCTTGAGCTTCTCCATCTCCACGTGCTGGGGTTACAGGTGTGTGCTGCTACCCTTCCTTTATGGGAGCAGAGCCCGGACTTCCTGCAACTAGGTCCTGTAACCTTTTTCCTCTCAGTCTCTACCAACTGAACTACATTGCCAGAGCTGACCAACGTATTTATAAATGTCTCTGTTCACTGTTTCTGCTGGCATTACACTCTTTCCTTTTTATGAAATGTGTCTATTTGTAGCATGTCAGTGAAAGTCGTCGGTTGGTGATTATTCCTGGTCTTTCTTAAAATGCTGTATTTTATTTTATACTCCTTAAATGGACATCAGGTGGTGTCTTGGGGTTTCACTGCTGTGGAGAGACACCAGGTAGTCCTTAGTAGGCAGCCCTTCTAAGGCTAACATTTACTTGAGGCTGGCTTACAGTTCAGAGGTGTAGTCCATGATCCTCATGGCGGAAAGCATGGCAGCACACAGGCCGACGTGGTGCTGGAGCAGTAGCCGAGAGTTCTACATCTGGGTCAGCAAGCGCAGGAAGCCAGGAACAGGCTCTCCTTCCACACTGGAGGGAGC